GCTCTGCTCAGCAACATGCAATAGACGCCTTGTTCTGGGAGCGGGGTGGGGAGCAGGGACTTGCAGGCTGTCAGCACAGAATCTGTCCAGGTGGCTCTGTGGTGGAGCTGCCAAGTCTGATTCCTGTCCCTGTCCTGTACTGGGGCACCTACCTGTTTCCTCTTTGTCATCCTTCAAGCTTTCAGCCTCCATTACCTCCCAGCTCCTCCCCTCCTCTGGGGTGTGGCCAGTTTCTCACCACCAGGAGCCAGGATCCAAATTCTCTCCCTCTGTGCTTTCCCTGAGGGGGCTCTGGGTCGGGCAGCTTCCACCACTCCTCCTCATCCAGCCAACCCCTGACACACCCAGGTGGTTTTGGAAGCTGCAGCAGGATGAATACAGAGGACCAATGTAAGCCAGTCAAATGCCAAAGATTTACTCTACTGATTCCTTTCAACATGCAGCCACACAGTGGTCTAGGTGACACTTTTCAGTGGCTGTGAACCCATGCTGCTGTGGGGTTTGTGTAAGCAAAGCAGCCACGTGGTCGGCAAAGTATAAGAAGTTGTGCAAACGTTGAAATATAAGCATCCACTATTAAGATGCACATTAAAGTAGCAGCATTAAGACAATACAGGTGGTACCTCAGGTTACAGAAGCTTCAGGTTACAGACTCCGCTAACCCAGAAATTGTACCTCAGGTTAAGAACTTTGCTTCAGGATGAGAACAGAAATTGCGCAATGGCAGCGCAGTGGCAGCGGGAGGCCCCATTAGCTAAAGTGGTGCTTCAGGTTAAGAACAGTTTCAGGTTAAGAACAGACCTCCAGAACGAATTAAGTTCTTAACCCGAGGTACCACTGTAGAGCAATTGAAAACAGGCGATTCGAGATGAGAAACCTTAGAAACTTCTAGGTCAGTGTTTCCCAAACTTGGGTCTCTCTAGCTGTTTTTGGACTGCAACTCCCATCATCCCTAGCTATCAGGACCAGCGGTCAGGGATAATGGGAACTGTAGTCCAAAAACAGCTGGAGACCCAAATTTGGGAAACACTGGTTTAGGTGAATAGGCACTTCTTCCATCTTCAAAAACTGGGGCCTCTCATATTTCAGGGAATGAGTTCCATAATGCAATGGAAAATCCCACCTCTGCATTATCACAGCTGAATAGTCATCAGGCCTGTGCAAAGTCAGCTCATTGGCAATGCTGAGTGGCGGTGGCTCTCCAGAGTTTTGGCTGGAGCCTTTCCAGCCCTACTTGGAGATGTCACGTTGAACATGAGACCTCTCGCTTGCCGTCTGTGCACTCTGCTGCTGAGCTACAGCCATATTAGTTACCATGGCAAAATGTAGCTGCTTCCATTAATCGAAAGCCATATGCTAAAGTGAATAATTGTGCTTCAGCGTGGCGAAAAGTAGGACAAATCACTGTAACCAGTGCTGTTAATGCAAGGGACAGTGGGGTGAAAGAGAAGGGGTGAAAAAAACCGGGAAAATAACGCCCTCTGCTAATACAAACGTAGCAATTTTACAGTTTGGGGATTATGGTGATGTGTGGCGAGAACCATGAGAACAATCGCTGCTGCCTTTGGATGGAATGGCACCTTAAAAGGGAAGGGAACTTCAGGATTCATCTCTAAGGCTGAGAGATGCGCAGCTTGTGAACTTGCAAAACTGGATTGTATGTTGCAAGAGAGGGGAACCTGTGGCCCCGCAGAGGGTGCTGCACTCCAACTCCCATCATCTGTTTAATGTATATGGGTTGACGCATGCAGAGAGAAAGGACAAGAAAGGGTTGAGTTAGGTGTTTTGGTTAATTTTCGAGTGTGTTTGTCCTGCAGCAGCAATTGGTTAAGCAAGCATCTGAGAGTGAGTCAGCACAATCTAAAGTATAAATACACTTGTGTTTGAAGCAAATTTGCTCTTGACCCTTGCCCTTGGCCCAGGGGCAGAGGAAGGGGCGGAGGGAGCGGTCCGCCCCGGGTGCTTTCGCTGATGGGGGTGACATTTGGAAACACCGCCTGCCCGCGACTCCCAAGCCTACCCCGAGTCGTCAGGGGAAGGGAGGAGCTGCACCACTGCACCACTTTGCCAGCAGCATTCCCCCTTCCCCTTTGTTTTGACAGCTGGGGGAAGCTTGGGAGTTGCAGGCGGGCTGCGTGCCAAATGTACGCCATCCGCGGTTCGCTCCACCCCTGGCTGCAGGGCATGTGCACTGCTCCGTACACCCGAGTAGCTATCCCGTGCTTGGGAGGGCAACCTCTGTGCCCCGCACCCCTTGGGAGTGCGCCTGCCCTGGGCAGTGCGGGCATATGCTCTACCACTGCCTTGGCCAGAGCCTAGTCTGTCTTGGAACACTGCAATGAGACTGTGGAAAAAGAAAAGGCATTTTAAATGCGTTATAATGCCATGACACCAGATGGCGCTGTGATGTTCTGTCTTTCAGCAATGTGATTTCCCATGATGAGGTTTACAATACGTTTTTCTGAAACATTTTTTGGATGTGTCTAGATCCAGCCTGCGTACTGCTGGAAGCACTGTATATTAACAACTGCATGCAACCTATAAGCTGTGAGGCTGCATTATATTATCAGTAAAGGGACTGACCCTACCTGGAACTGTCTGGTGTTTTTCTGTTCCATTGCAACACTCCGCTGGCATGTTGAATGGGCACTTTGCACATGCCCCAATACATCCCTGACTAGCAGTTATGCTAGCTGGATTATATGGGAGTTGGAGCCCAACAACATTTAGAGAGCCAGTGGTTCCCCAGCTCTGGATGTTGTAGAGCACAGAAAAATAGATGGGGTAATAATAAATTTATTATTATTATTATTATTATTATTATTATTATTATTATTATTTTATATCCCGCCCATCTGGCTGGGTTTCCCCAGCCACTCTGGCCGGCTTACAACATATAAAACACAACAAAACATCAAACATTAAAAAACAAGATATCCTATACAAGCAACAAACAAACCAATAAATCAATAAAAATCAATAACAATAATAATAATAATAAACAATTTACAGTTATACCCAAATTAAAGTAACTACCAACCCCAACTAAATAGCTAACCAACACCAACCCAACAAAAATGAAACAGAGGAACCAAAATTAGAACCGTTTTAAGCATTTTAGCCAGTTGCCCCAACCCAAGAGTTGTTCCGACAATGTCTGAGTGGCCTCCCAGGAGCCTCTTTTAGCTGTTCAGGGTGAGTGTGGGCCTGCCCCCTAGGCCAGGTAGAAATGGGCCTTGCAGCAGTGAGCGGTCTTCCCTCCAGCACTCATGGCAGCAGCCGTGTAGAAATCAGTAGGCTTTAAGCAGAGCAAGTTAATGCCGACAACCTGCTGATCTCGAGATGTTTCTTGAAAGCGAGATGCACTCCACATTCTCCAACAACAGTGTCATCCAAAATAAAATGTTATTGGGGGGATGCCAGTTTTCAAGGCAGCACACCTGCACCCAGCAAACTCTGTAATCTCTGACCTCTTGGTCCTTTACATATTCTGGAATATTGTCCTCTTGGATGAAATTGTATTAAAAGGAACAACAAGCAATTGCCATCCATTAGCATCAAGGTACTTACAGAGGAAACAGTACCTTTGCCAGGAAAAAGCTGGCCTGCGAAATGCAAAAAGGATATAACTTTCGTCTTCCTTTTTCTCCCCGGTAAGGAGCTAAAAGGTCAGAAAGAAAAGTCTGTCAAGTTGTTGTTGTTTAAATGGGGGGGAGACAACACTTCTTGGCAACTCCTGCAGTGAAAAAAAATGTAATGGCATTTATTTAGAAGACTCCTATTGAATTAAAAGTTAAACCACAATGGAGTAAATGTGTAATGACACTCAAAAGCTGAAGTTAATCCGTACTGGAAGAGAGACATCTAGTTGAGCCTTTGAGGCATTGCACAAAATTGCCTATTAGGAATGCTGAAAAGCAATCTTTGTGTTTCTAAATTTAAGTAAAGGATTGTATGCATTTTGCTTGCTTGCTTGCTTGCTTGCTTAAGAATCATGCTTTGCAGCCCTCCATGTATTTTTTAAATGTAACCATAATTACACGAATTGTGATCTTTGATTCTGGAGGATTTCAGAATCCTTTTGGTCTGTACAGCAGAGGTGGCTCCAAGATGATGCTGGAGTTCCAGCCAGCCTGGTTAAAAATCAGGGATGGTGGGAGTTGTAGTCCCAACAAGTCCTTGAGAACCACAGATTAGACACCTCTGCCATAGAGCATCAAACTACATGTGCTGCTAAATGCTTTGTTAACAACTATATCAGGGTTTTTAAAAAACTTAATACCAATTTTCATCAGGGTAGCAACACACCGGGGGGTGGGGGAGGCTTCACCCTTCCCTCCCCTCCCCAGTCAGGATCCTGACAATAAACACCTCCCCGCTGAGCTCTTCAGTTACAAAGCATCAGTTGGAAACTATCTGGACAACTTTTTTTCTAATCTCAGAAGTGGAATCTTGTCCTTCTGCATGGGCAGCAGAAAGAGAATACAGTAGTACCTCGGGTTAAGTACTTAATTTGTTCCAGAGGTCCATACTTAACCTGAAACTGTTCTTAACCTGAAGCACCACTTTAGCTAATGGGGCCTCCTGCTGCCGCCGCGCCGCGAGAGCATGATTTCTGTTCTCATCCTCAAGCAAAGTTCTTAACCTGAAGCACTATTTCTAGGTTAACGGAGTGTGTAACCTGAAGCGTATGTAACCTGAAGCGTATGTAACCCGAGGTACCACTGTAAACTGAACTAGCATGAATGGTGTTTTTTCTTCTACTGTTTATAAAGTACCAACACAATATATTGGCTCATCAAAAAATTAGCTGTTTTGGGAGTTTCTACTGAGTCACACCATTGATCCATTTAGCCTAGAATTATATACTGGCCAAGGCTGTCCATTGTTTCAAGCAGAAGCTTCTCTCGCTCCTGCTAAGTGATGAGCCTTTTAGAACAGAAGATCTTGGCCATTGAACATGGGCCCTGGAACATAAGGTGAAGTGGCTTCAAATATTCTCCCAGCCTTGTTGAGTCGGTAGAGCATGAGTCTCTTAATCTCAGGGTTGTGGGTTTGAGCCTCACGTTGGGTGAAATATTCCTGCATTGCAGGGGGTAGAGTAGATGGTCCTCATGGTTCCTTGCAACACTACAATTCAACGATTCTGTAATTCTATGTAACAACAACAAAATGTTAAGTTTATACTAGAGGAGATGTGAACTGTTAAGGCAGAAGATAGCCCTAGCTGAAAAATCCTTCTGCAGATTAGATAACCGTCGCTTACATCTGAGATATCTGTGCAGGCTAAAGGCAGGATATTGAGTTTATCTGTCGAGCTCAAGGCTGCATCCTTCTTTACACTTGCCAAGCAAAAGCTGTGTGTGCATGTCCAGTTCCCAGAGGCCTAGCAAAGGAGAAAATAAGATGGAAGAGTCACAGTTACACAACACACACACTTGTGTGATAGTGCTATTCTTGTTACCACTTGAATCTGCAATACTATTCAGATAGATAGATAGATAGATAGATAGATAGATAGATAGATGATAGATAGATATAGATGTGTGTGTGTGTGTGTGTGTGTGTGTGTGTGTGTGTGTATGAGAGAGAGAGAGAGAGAGAGAGAGAGAGAGAGAGAGAGAGAGATGATCATATGGTAAATGTATTGTCTAGTCTCAGCAGTAAATCCTTTTAAGGAAATGTTAGGATTGACTTGTTTACCTTTGTTATATGCTCCCCAGTCTCCAGGCTAGACTTCCTCAACCTCGGCCCTCCAGATGTTTTGAGGCTACAGTTCCAATCATCCCTGACCACTGGTCCTGCTAGCTAGGGGTCATGGGAGTTGGAGGCCAAAAACATCTGGATGGCCGAGGTTGAGGAAGCCTGCTCCACGTGATGAGAGATTTCAGGCATTCCAGTGCATACCTCAGGTTTGATTTCCTTACAAGAAAGGTCACTAGAGATGGTGATGTATGGTTCTATTTGCACATACCTCGGGTTACAGACGCTTCAGGTTACAGATGCTTCAGGTTACAGACTCCGCTAACCCAGAAATAGTACCCTGGGTTAAGAACTTTGCTTCAGGATGAGAACAGAAATCATGCGCCAGCGGTGCAGTGGCAGCAGGAGGCCCCATTAGCTGAAGTGGTACCTCAGGTTAAGAACAGTTTCAGGTTAAGAACGGACCTCCAGAATGAATTTAGTTCTTAACCCGAGGTACTACTGTATTTAGGCTGAGTATAAGATGGAAGGGCTCACAGCATTAACACTCCAGTGGATCTTGGTCTCCCCACTAGGTTTCTAAGGGCAAAGCCTACAAAGGGGGTCTGGAAAGAGGCTGGTCCTCTTTAGCCAAAATAAAGACAGCAGAGTCGTGGAAAGATCAGCTTTATTGCTTACTGCAGTCAGAACAAAGGTGGCCCCAGTGGATAATTCCAAAAGCTGGGCAGCAAATACAAAAAATCAAGGCATCTGTATAGTATTCTGAATGCATGAAGCCCTCATGCCCTATCATTTCTGCAATATTATGGGTTACAGCAACACGTGAACAGCTCGTGTCTCTTTACCTAGCTTTCCAACTGGACATCCCATATTTGGAGTTATCCCCTTATCATATCAAGGTGTCTTCTTAAATCATCTTCCAGATGGCTCTGGTCAGCCTAATTGAATCTGCACAAGCACCCCCTTTACACTGGTATGCATACCTGAACTGTTAATGGGGCGGGAGTTAAGTGCTCTTCTCGCCTGCTGATCATGGTGCAGCTTTTGTTAACTGAAAAGCAAAAGAATACAGAAATACGGAGAAAAGCATACAGAAAGGCACAAATCTAAACTAGGCAGAGGGGCCACCATAGCTTTAGATTCAGCATAGACAGCAAGCTAAGCCTCTATGTCTCTTCCCAGACAAGAGTGGTCCCAAAGAGTTGTTCTCTTGCACTCACCATGGACCTCACCTCTGGTCAGGGGAGAGAGAACAGACCTGGGCTGGATCTTGACACATCAATGAAGTGTTTCAATTAAACTCATTGTAAACTCACACAGGGAAATCCAGTTGGGAAAGACGGGACTCCACAGCGCCTCCTGATGTCGCAGTGCCATATCGCATATACAACACATATAAAACATTTTTTCTTTACCAGTCTAGCTGAATCGCTGCTCGCTTTAGCCTGCCTCCTGGAATCATCTCCAGTTAGTCTTCTCTGTGGCAACCCAGCGCCTGTATCCTTTCGTCATGCAAAGAGGTGCTTAACAGGCCTGGCCAGAACCTTAAGCGTTAGACTGGTCTGACAACTTCCGTAGCCTGTTTTCTATAGACTAACCACCATCCTATTACACCTTTCACAGTAGCGTCTTCGTGAACTCATATGCAGCCTTATAAGCTGCATGTAAAGAACAGTGTTACATTATTCCTGCATTGCAGAGGGTTGGGCTAGATGACCCTTGTGGGTCCCTTCCAACTCTACAATAAATAATAATAATAATAATAATAATAATAATAATAATAATAATAATTTATTTATACCCCGCCCATCTGGCTGGGCTTCCCTAGCCACTCTGGGCGGCTTCTAACAAAATATTAAAATACATTAATGCATCAAACATTAAAAGCTTCCCTAAACTTCTATGATTATCAAAAAGAGGGGGGGAAAGATAGAGAGAAGAATATGGGTATTTTCTCACAAGTTGCTTAGGTTGCAATCCTGTACCCCCTTACCTGTGGGTAGGTCCCACTGAACTCTGTGGGGCTTACTTCTAAGTAAACATGTCTAGGATTGCACCGTTAAAGCCGGTGAGTAATACAAATGTCAACATTCAAGGTAGGCCAGAATGTTCGTTTTCATTACAAATTCCACTCTTCTCTTTTCTCTCCTGCATTAACACCTATCAGACATTCATATGAATAGGCAAAAGGTCAAGCACCTTTTTGAAAGTTAACTGAGCAACCTTATACATGTCTAAAGGTAAAGGGACCCCTGACCATTAGGTCCAGTTGTGGCCGACTCTGGGGTTGCGGCGCTCATCTCGCTTTATTGGTCGAGGGAGCTGGCTTACAGCTTCCAGATCATGTAGCTAGCATGACTAAGCCGCTTCTGGCGAACCAGAGCAGTGCACGGAAATGCCGTTTACCTTCCCGCCGGAGCGGTACCTATTTACAGTGGTGCCTCGCAAGACAAAATTAATTCGTTCTGCGAGTTTTGTCGTCTTGCGATTATTTTCATCTTGCGAAGCACGGTGTCTGGAAAGTTTTGGAAAAGCTTCAAAAATCACCAAAGTCTTTAAAAACCTCAAAAAGGGCTACCACACCGCGTTCTATGAGTTGCTCCTCGAAGTCAAGTCACAACTGTATTAATGGTGTTAAGAAAAAGGAAACAAACTTGCAAGACATTTCTGTCTTGCGAAGCAAGCCTATAGGGAAAATCGTCTTGTGAAGCAGCTCAAAAAACAAAAAACCCTTTCGTCTAGTGAGTTTTTTGTCTTGCGAGGCATTCGTCTTGCGAGGTACCACTGTATCTACTTGCACTTTGATGTGCTTTTGAACTGCTAGGTTGGCAGGAGCAGGGACCGAGCAATGGGAGCTCACCCCGTCATGGGGATTCGAACCGCTGACCTTCTGATTGGCAAGTCCTAGGCAAGTCCTAGCCCAGCGCTACCCACGTCCCTTATACATGTCTACTTGGATATAAATCCCATTGATTTCAGTGAGGCTTACACCCAGGTAAGTGGGCACAGGACTGCCGTCTAAGCCTCATAACAATCCCCTCAGCCTATTCTCTGCATTTCTGCTGGCTCCACTGCAAATCTCTCTGGGCTGAAAGAATTGGCAAAGAGGATATTCTCCCTTGCTACATGCTACAATGGGAACCTGGATATTTGTAATAACCAGTGCAAGGTTCCATACAGTTTCCCCCTTGCATCTTTCTTCTTCTTCTTCTTTAAATGAATTTTTTGGCTGGTCTACAAGGACGTGTCGGCAAAGAATAATGGCACAACCCTGCTCATATCTGTAAGTGAAATATTGATTGTGATGACCCTTTTAAACGGCAAAATATCCATCTTTGTGCTTTCACTGCTACCTCTGCGGTCTTATAACCCATTTTTAGACACACAATGCATTTTCACTTTATTCCCAGATGAAATATTCTGTGAATTGATTTCTAGATTTTGCTTTCCCATACATTTTTTAAAAAACCAAACAGTTGAACTTGTTCTGTGGGGGAAAGGTGCTGTTTTCCTTGGGCAGAGCTGTTTGCCTGCTTCATCTAATCATGTGTTAGCTGCTTGATCAATTTAAGTTTTATTATGAAATGACAGTCTTGTGGGCAGAGCACAGGCCAGGGAACATCTAAATGCCTCCCACAACGCAGGGGTTGTGGCTAGGGGACCTGTTTATTGTGCCTTCACCCTGCTTTTTTGCACAACATTTGTGGTAGGGATGGGCAAATCTAACAATTTCAGTTTCTCTCGCTTTCTCATTTTTCCTATATTAATTCTCTACATTTTCACACCAGTCTATGATTCTGTTGGAATGTTCAAGGAGGCTGGAGAGGATATATTGTTTTATAATATCCTTCCTAACTTGCACCAGCAAGTTCTATAACTTAGCAGAGTTTTAACATTCCCCTTTAAACGCACAACAGTTAACTTGTTGCAAGCTTGTTTAAGCTTCCAGTATAGGATTCCCTTTTCTCCCCCTTAAAAAGAATAGACACGACACAATCTTGTGCAAAGTATTATAAAAGAAGTTTACTCACACATTCAGTTCACAGATGGATCCCTGAAGGCAGACTTAGGTTACAAAGTATATACACATGGAACTACCCCATATGGGAGTTAGTCCCAGTGACTGCAGACAGGCAGTCACTGCTGCTCACACGACAAAAGCAAGATGGAAAAGAGAGTCCAAAAGAAGGAAGTGTGCCTTGCCTTTTTGTTACCTGAGCAGGCAAGGTCACGCCCCCCTCTAGTCACATGCAGAGGAAGTTTGTCCCAGCTCAGGAGGACACAGGAAGTTCTGACTGGCTGGAGCAAACATCCCCTTTCATGTCCACTCTAGGAATGTTGTACTTGACTGCTTTCTATGTGTAACATCCCAC